CGAATGCACCAGTGATTTATACAGCTCAATTCCACACAATTTGAAGTCAGTTTTCTTTTCATTTCAGAGCTCTTGGATGTCATCTCACATCTCCAGGGATCACAGGGGAAGAGGAGTACCCAAAACCTTGCTGTAAGTGTGTGCATGCTCCAAAACCCAGTAGAAACAAGGCCATTAGTTGAAAAGAATTAAATCCAGAGAAAATTCTTTACTGGCTCCTAACAATTTCAAAGGAGATTGGATCCTGGGCAAAAAAACTAGATGACAACAACCCTTTGAATTCTTTCTACTTCAGGAAAATAGGGGGGAAAAAAATAAAAAACCAGCCTTCCAGTTGAAAGCTTTATTTGGGAATAAAGTTTATCTTCAAAAGATGTCTAAAGAGAGACTGTCTGGGCCATAACAACTTGGCATGACTTGGACTGACCTGCCCTGCTTGAGCATTTTGGTGCCTTTATGCCATAATAAAATGCAGCAAAAAAAGTCTCCCTAGTGGCTCTGGATGAGAAAGTATAATCTGGGGTTTAAATGCCACAAAGCATCCATATTTATCTTTAATGGCTATATAAATTCAGCAGATGAGAAGGAAAACATTAATTAGACAGACCCTGCCTTTGGCAGTTATCACCACCAGTGACAGCTGAACCAGCCAGTGGATAAAATATGCACCAAACATGATTATCAGAATAAATAAGTGAGGATCAAGAGGAAATTTAAAAACAAAATACAGAAAAAAAAAGCCCCATACAACCAACACCTTTTTTGGTGGAGGAAAGAAAACTTTAAACTTTACCTGGACTTCAGACTCTCTTTTTTTATGCCACCTTTCCTCAGCTGAAGGCCCAATCCTGCAGCTGGTGTCTGTGGGAGTATTTCTGCAGCTTAGTCATGAATTCTGCTTGCTCAGGAGGAGCAGCAAACCCTGAGAGGTCTGGTGTTGAAGGCTTTAGTTAGGGTCAGATTTTAGAATCACAATTAGTTGTATCAATCCAGTCCAGGGGGGCCTATCACAGACATAATAAAATTTAAAAAAAAACAGAAAAAAAAATAAAATCCACTGACCTGAGTAGGCTCTAAAAACTCTGATGTTAACAAGGTGGTTTTCAGATTTTTTTTCAATGGTGTCAAGGCTGCTCCTCTAGTTTGTGTGAAATGAAGGTGGATTTACAGCAGGATTTAGCCTGTGGGAGGACCCAGCTTCTGCTGCTGCTCTGTCCCCACCCTCCTCCATCAAAACCCTCTCTGGTCCTGCTGGGTCAGTGGCCAGGCCACCAGGATGCATTTTGAAAGCATCTCAGATTTTTCTTCACACTGTCTCCCTTAGGGCAAGGGTCATAATTAGTAATTTAGCAAACCACTTAGATGCTAAAAAGTGCCTCAGAACCATGGCTTCACCAACATCCTGAAGGTGAATCCTCTGCAGGGTTCTGGCCTTAAAATCTTCAGGTTTCCCTTGCTCCAGAGCAGGGGGTGGAAGCTTTTGCTTTGCAAGGAGAGGAGGGCAGGGGGTGGAAGACCAGCTGCAGGATGGAAAAGTGGCAAAATGAAACATCTCCTGCCTCAAAGGAAGGTGAAGGGGAGAGCAGAGAAAGGGACAGAGCTGGGGGAGAGGGGATGGGAGAGGGCAGGTGAGCCCTGGAGAGCCAACCTTACCTCTCCTGGGCCACCAAGAGCACCCACCCCAGGCAGCCAGCCTCTCCCTGCAGAGCAGCAAGGCAACCAGCCCAGCTTTGCTGAGCCAGCCTGCACCAAAAACCAACCACGTTGCTGTCCCCCAGAGCCTGCTGCTTGAGGCAAGGGCATATCTTGCCTGAGATCCCCCCTTTTGCTGCTCCCTGCTCCTCAGGTGGAGGAGGGAGCAGGTCCAGCCACACACAGTGGGAGAAACAACCCCCACAAACCAACAAAAACCCCACGCCAGGCTAAAAAATGGACTGCACTTTCTTCCAGCAGCACCTCCAGGGCTTTGGTGGCGAGCTGCAGGCAGGGTCCCATGTCACAGCCGAGTGCCACCCCTGCAGCTCTCTGTCCTGGGGTGTCCCTCTCCAGGGAACTCCAGCCCCTGTGCCCTGCCAAATGCTCCACGGGTCTTTTCTCCTCTGCTTGCCGTCGCTTTTCCAAGAAGGGAAAGACTTTGCAATAGAACAACAGAAGACTCCAGCACCTGAGAGCCGGGGAGGGAGGGAGGTTGGAGGCGCAGGGGGAGGAGGGCTCAGCACTGCTCTGCTTCCACAAACCCCTCCTTCTCCTGGCTGCCCGGCTCCACCTCCGAGTACGCCGCCTGGTCGCTGTGGTTGCGGAACTTCATGGCAGGCCAGCGGTGTGGCCGTCGCTGGGGACAGAAAGAAAACCCCATCAGCAGCTGTGGCAGAGCCCTTCACACCAGCCCTGCGAGGGGAAGGAGAAACTCAGCCCTGGAACGCCAACAGAGCTGCCTTTGGGAAAGTCTGACTTCTAAATAGATATAGATTTTAATCGATGGCTTCACGCGTAGAAGGGTTTGTTACAACGCGTGGATCTCCCCGAGCTCACCCCCTGATAAGGGTCAGATAGGGGGGAAAGGGAAGCTGGAAGTGAAATCTCACATCAGCCTCAGAACAAGGGTGGCCTGTGCCTGGGGTCACAGCCGAGGATGGCCACAGGGCTTCCTGAGTCACCACGGGGCTTCCTGAGCCACCACGGGGCATCCTGAGCCACCATGGGCTTCCTGGGACACCACAGGGCTCCCTGGGACACCCCGGGCACCCCGTGCCCAC